CGTTGAATTATATTTTTGGGGTTCTAAACCTCCCTTAATCTCCCGGTTAAGTAGTAATTAATAGTTATAATAAACTTTAAAGTTTAAAGCCTAACTAAAAACGTGAATCTGTCAAGTTCCCCAATCAAAATTTGAGGCAAATCCGTTAAAAGCGGTTCATCAGTTATAAGGACATAGAAACAAATGAACAGAGATTACTACTTTATATATAAAGAGATCATCTTGATAATATTCAGGATCCATGGATGCTCCGCACCCCTGGCTTCAGCATTGTATTCAGCAAACCTCTTACCAGCAGCTTGCAGCAGCTGCCAGTGCTGCTGCTGTTGCAGCTGCTTCTGGTAAACTAGCATCAGCTGCTGGAGCTGTTCTAGCAGCTGCTTCAACCAAACTCTCAGCATCCAACACGCAGATTAAGCAAGAGCCTTCCGCACTACCTCCGGTATTGAGATTATCTTCTATATTTACATCATTATTATCATTATTATTATTATTATAATTATACTAGTTATCATGATTATCATTTTCATTATTAATACTATTATTATCGTCATCAGTATCCCCATTAGTATTATTATTATTAGTAGTAGTAGTAATAGCAGTATTCTCATTATCATTACTTTCATCATAATTATTCATATTTTCAGATGGTTGAGAAAAATCTGTTTAAAGGAGGAAGATCGAGCTTCTCTATTGACGATCTCCTGGCAAGAACTCCAATTTCTGCTAAATCTGAGATCACAAATCAAACCCCGATCTCTGCTTCACCTGATCTCTCAAATCAAAACTCGACCTTGACTGAACCTGATCTAAAATTTACTCTCAATTTAAGCTCAAGCTTTTCTATTCATCACAAAGATTTGCAACAGACACCGTCCCTCGCTCAATCCACAGCTATCCTCCCCTCATCCCTCACATCAATCCCTCTCCTCTCTCAAACTGCTTCCATTCCACACTCAACCCTCTCTTACTTCTCTCAACCATCCATTCCTTTCTCCACCTCCATTTTACCACATCGCTCTGAAGCATCAACTCGTAAAATATCCCCCGTTTCTCCTGATACTAATCCTCATAGTCCTTTAATTGTCTCAAGAAGCACTCAACTCCCATACCCTTCCCCGAAAAGTCCCAAAAACCCTTCCTCGCCTCGGGAAGATTTTGTTTTGAACAACAAAGAGCTTTTAGCCCCATAGGTTTGGTTGAATTAAATGTTAAATTCAAAATGGCGAAAGCATGTGAACTCCTGAATGGCGGTAAAATCAAAATGGAGGTTGTTTAACTTCAACATGGCGGCATGAATTAAAATTGATAAATGATAAAGTGCAAAATGGCGGGGAATGTAAAGCGAAGAATGGTGAACTTTAAAATGGAGACCACTTTAAAATTAAAAGGATGGATTTCAAATTACGATCCTTTACTATTGGAAAATGTTGAACTGCAAAGTAGCGCTTTATTTTAAATAAAAAATCTTACCCGTCTTTATCCAATACAATTGATAAAGGTTTCTGAACGAGAAGATCGGCGGCTATTTATACGAAAAATTATGTGAATCATCAAATTCTCTGTTTGTTCAAGAATTTATTTGACTCCAGTAGTCACTAATTTTGTTCAGCAGCTCCCCCCTTTACAAATGCAAAATAAACTAAGGGCCTTATTATTTGTTTAAAAATATTAAGTTATATTTAGAAAATGAGAACCTCTTAACATTTATAAAGAACAAATGTCATATAAACCTACTTAGTGCAAGCAATACTTTTATAGTTAAAGAAATTTCAGCTGAATTACAGCCGGCGACGGAATAAGGAGAATTTGTAAATTAACTTTTAAATCATTTTTTTCACTTAATTTTTATACCAACGACACATTATTTTTAAATACTTTGCTTTTTTCAAAATTTACACCAAAAAAACCACCAAAAATCTCGAGTAAGTATCCAGCTACCAGTTTTACTTTTGAAAGACCTGAGGCCGAATTTAAAAGAATTTGAACCGCGATTTAAATTTAAGCCGCGACTCAAATTTTGTTGGTTGCACTTAAAATTTTTCCAGATTTAAGCCGGCGTTCAATTTAAACCGGTATTTGGGGGATTTCAGACGCGGCTTAAATTCATTAAATTCGGACAGTGGTTTTATTGCGGCTTTTATGGAAATCCCTGCCATGTACCTACAGTTTGATAATCGTTTTCAAATCTTTTGGTTTCGCTTTTTTAACCCATTTGCGACAATTTTTTGAGAGTAGTTTCCTTTTCAAAATACGTTTAATGCGGTATTATCGCGTAAATCAAAAATGTTCTGGCAAATTATTTTTGTTTAGTAGATTTAATATTGATTTAATATTGATTTAATATTGATTTAATATTGATTTAATATTGATTTAATATTGATTTTTTATTGTAAAAAAGTATAACTGAGACTCCTAACAAATACATAAAGGTGTTAGGGCAAAATTGTTATGAAAAGCTTTATTTACAAAGTTATATAAAAAACTATTTATAAAGATCAAAAAGTGACTTTTTTTTGTTCGCCTTCTGTAATTTATTGAACAGAGAGTCCCACGAAACATGACATTGACTGTCCCATAACGAATTGAAGGTCTTTTTTCTTAAACCTGATTTTAGAAGTAAGATTCTAAAGTTAATATTCTCACATATATATATATACCTAGTCTTGGCATTTCCAAAATGGGGTCTGCCTTTTTTGAGCTTTCAATATTAACGGAAATATGATTTATTTAATAACATTGAAATCTGAACGAAATTCTTAATATCTCCGGTAATATCGATAGCACAATGAAGGCAGACAACATCTAGGACTAGGATAATTTTGTGATTATTATTTCAAGAATCATACATGTGAAAGTAGACGTGGACGGCTGAATTTCACAAACAAATTAAAGTTCTAAGACGACTTTCAAGTCCTCTTGCTACTTTCATGTTTCGTTTACATTTATTCTATGTATTTCCAGCTTTTTTTTCGATCTAATCCCTTGATCTAGTCCCTTGATCTAGTCCCTTGATCTTGTCCCTTGATATAGTCCCTTGATCTAGTCCCTTGATCTTGTCCCTTGATCTTGTCCCTGTCCCCTTTTGTGCGTTCTATTACCCCCCACCCTCTATAGCCGGGTGTGAAGGGTATATTCAAGGTTCCGCTAAGTGAACAAGAATTGAGCTTCTCACAAAAGAAATAACTTTGCTTAGTTTAACACTCATCAAATCCAAGGTGTCCCAATAAATAACATTTTGTTTGTTACAATTCTGTAATTAGAAGTAATACATATGCACTTATTAAAATACATTTTACAAATTATATAAGTCAATTTTCAAACAAAGTGAAATAAATTTTTGATGACGTTCTTACATAATTTTTGGGACACCTGATATAGCGAGAGCGAGATTAAACCACAGAAAGTTCATCTCTCTTGCTCAACCATTGTACACAGGGTGTTCAATGTTCATGGTTCAAAGTTAAACATCAAATCTGTTCAGTTTTTGTTTGTTTGTAAAGAAAAATTAAATCTTTACATAATTTTGTTTGTAAACAAAAGTCAAATCAGATCACGATAATAATTTAATATTTTCTAATTTTCCTTTCGTCCTCGGACTATTAATAAAAAAATATGGACCGTGAGTTTTACCGAACTGCTGGAAGATGTTTATTTCTACACAGACTCCAAAAGAAACAGATTAAAATCTAAACTTTAAAAAAATCTTTTCTTAGAAAACGAAACAAGCCTCGTACCATAAATTAAACATGTACTTAGAACTACAATAAATGACACTACCTAATGAAGTGTTCCTGGTTAAAAACCATCCTTCCGTTTCTCAAACTTAAAGCCATTGAATAAAGTTCACTGAAGTGAAAGTTGTATTTGAGCAATGATTTGGAAACAATTCATATACATATGTATGAATAGTGAAGACCAGGGGCCGCTTACGATACTTTTGCTTTTCCTTGACGAAAATCCTCACACTTTTAGATGGTTTGTTGTTCATTTATATATCAAAACTCTGAAATGGCCAGGTTTGGAAATGTGGTGCCCACTTTTAAAATTGCCCTAAGAAAAATTCTTTTTAAATTAAAATTTTTTTTGACTGATCAAGTTACGTCGTATGCAACATTGTTTTACAATCCATTGTTATAATAAAAATAAAATTAAATAAAAGTTCCCATCTCTATAAAGCTGTACCCCAAATTTTCAAACGATCTACCATGTAACATTTAAAAGTTGTAATTATAAAGAGAAAGAGGGGCACGAAGCGCCCTGAAAGCCTAGTTATATAGATTTATTAAATTTCTATAAATGACAAAAAAGTGACTACACTACAGCACAGGAAAGTACAAAACCATATTTTACAGAATAACCGTGTATTGTTTTTCTTTTTCTTTTTGTGAGTTCATGATGTATTATAGCAAGGTAAATTGTACAGGATATTCATGGATTGTATACTGTACATGTTCAGTGTTCTACCATACAAAACACGGCTGTAGAATGTACATGCAGATTGTAAAATACAGTTTATAACAGTACAGAACAGTTTAATTAAAGTACAATTAGTTTTCTAGATCTATAAGTTCAACATCAAAGACGAGTGTAGAACAAGGTGGTATTACTGCACCGACTCCTTGTTCCCCGTATGCTAGATCAGGAGGTATAACGAGAGTTCTCTGTTCACCTACACACATACCCTCCAGGCCAGAATCCCAACCAGCAATAACCTAAACATATTCATGGGTCAACCTCATGGGCTTTTGGGACTATTTAACATCTTTATTATACAGGGCTACCAAACAAAGGATGAGACTGTGAAGACGACCTGAAACTATTAAAATAGCAAGTAAGTAAGGAAGTAATTATTTATTTATGAAATATAACAAAAACAAACAAAAAAATTAAGTGTTTCAGGAGAAAATATTTAAAAACCTCCAAAAATAGAGGTTGTTAGTATTTTTTCCCCAATTCTATAAAAAAATATAAAAATTGAAAATAAAAAGGAAAAGGAATGGGAAGGAAAGGATGAGGAAAGTTACTTATTTATTATTTATTTCATATTTAATATAAACTGGTGATGAATTGTTAGTATTTTTCGACGATAAACTATCAACTTTTCGAAATAAAAATAAAGTTAAAAAATAAAATAGGCTTTATGGGTTGTGAAAGAGATATAAGTTCTACGCAAAACGGGCATTTTTAAGCATATTTTAAATTCGCGGCGATTTTTTACATCCTTTATAAATGATTATATTTTTTGCTCCTTTTAATCTTTTTAATCTTTTCTTTGTAAAATCGTCTTTTCCTTCTTAGATTATTTTGCAAACATATCATGTGTTAGAATTAAATAATTTGTTCTGCTGAAAAACTAAAATATGACAATCCAAAAGTTTTGTTCATTCCTTTGTTTTGAATAAAGTCTTTTTATGGATTTTTTAATTATTTTACAAAGAAAAAAACATGTTTACAGTAGCAGGGAATCACGAATAAAAGAAACAGAAAGTAAGTATACAAATTCCGTAGAGTTGTCTATAAAGTATCTTGTGAGTAACCCAACCTTGTGAACCCTGTATGCTCATGAATGTATCTCAAACCCCAGTCTTACATCATTACCCTGAAACGATCTGGGCTAATATTAGCTATAAACTATTTTTTACGTATTGAAGGGGGCGCCACTGACAAGTATTAAAGGGGGCGCCAATGACAAGTATTAAAAGGGGCGCCACTTACAAGTATTAAAGGGGGCGCCACTGACAAGTATTAAAGGGGGCACCACTGACAAACTTTTTTAAAATCATTCTTAAAAATAGACTTAAGAGAGATAGAAGCTGCGCCCTCTCCCTAATGGGGTCCAACATTTTCCATGGGGATGTACCCTCATCCCCCCCCCAAAAAAAAATTCTGATTTTACAGCTGAATGTGATTATTCTTCTCTCATAAAATATAACCTGTCCAACTCCAAGTGTGAACTGGAAGGGTTTGTTCCGATCTAAAGAACTATCAAACTTCTGACCGTTCTCCAGTTTACCGGTGTAATGCATCGTTAAACGATCCCCAGATTTTGTAATCTTTCCACACCTGACTGGTCTATGTGTAACCTGAAATTAGAAATTCTACTTACAAAAATATTGATAACTAGCTGGAGTGGCCGGCGTTGCCCAGGTTTATATCATTATTTAGTCATAGTTACCTCTGCCGCGCTAGGTATTAAATCAGCGCAGCGTTGCCACACATTTTTAGCCTCTGTGACCCCCCGGGGTACCCTTGGGGTCTTATGAATTTTTTGGTCAATTTACCATATAGAATATGATAAAATAACAATAACAATAATATTAATGAAAATACTGATTATAATAATTACTAAACTTGACTATCCTCACAAAAGTATCCTAATTATAGATTACATGATATGAGGTGCTTAAGAGGATAAATTTGTTCTGAAGGAATGATTACACTACACTAATAACAAATCCAGATGTTGTGATTTACAATTTATCGCGTCCTTGTTTCGAACCGTTTTCGCCCATAAAATGTAGACTTTCCAATATTCTGTATCTTTCAGGTCCTTCTTGTGCTTGTGCTAAATGTGACATATTGAAATACAATGATCGGCGTTTATATCAATGCAATGAAGAAGACTTTTCTATTCAAGTTTTAATTTCTAGCGTGCTTTTTCAAATTACAACCTTGCAGGTAAACAAAGAGAAGCTGTTAATTGACAGATTCTATTTGTTTCCATGTTTATGTGTATCCATGCTGTTTAAAAGCTTGGTAGAAATAAAAGATTGAAATCGAAAGTCGTCCTCAGTGTATTGATGTATACGACGACTATTGTACAGGGTGTCCCACGAAACATGACAATAGCAAGACGACTTGAAAGTCGTCTTTGGTATTTGAATTTATTTGTGACATTTAGTCTTCTATCTACTTTAACATGTATGATTCTTGAAACAATTATCACATAATTCTCCTAGCCCTGGCATTTCCAAAAAGTGGTCTGCGTTTTTTGTGCTTTCAATATTACCGGAGATATAAAGAGTTCTGTTCAGATTTCAATTTTGTTAAATAAAAGCAAAATTGTCGAAATCTGAACGAAATTCTTCATATCTCGGGCTATATTGAAAGCACAAAAATAACAGACCACATTTTGGAAATGGCAGGACAAGGGAAATTTTGGGATTATTATCTCTAGAAATTTACTTCTAAAATTAGGTTGACAAATAAACGCAGCAAATTATATCAAAAATCAAGACGACATTCAAGTCGTCCTGCATACTGTCATGTTTCGTGGGACACCCTGTATATAAAGTTCAGTCCTCTGTGTTTCCTGAATTTTGAACGACCGATCAACTATGATAGTTTTCCGTGAACAACATTACTAATAATAGATAAATTGTGACACTATAATAATGATATTATACCTGCATTTTTAATTCTCCCTGACCACAAGCAGATGGGTAATCATAATAATATTCATCATCATAATATTCTGCTCCTTGATCTTCTTTTCTTCTAGTTCCCTCAGCTACCTTACTTCCTCCACGCTTCTTCTCTCCATCTCTTCTCTTATTCTCCTCCTCTCTTCTTTTCTCCTCTTCTTTTACTCTCTCCTGTTCTTCTCTTCTCATTTCCAGTTCCTTTTTTCGTTCTTTCTCTTCTTTGATTCTTGCTTCCTCGTCCTGTCTTACTCTTACTTCTGCTTCTCGTCTTCTTTCAAGTTCATTTTTTCGTTCTTTATCTTCTTTGATCCTTGCATCTTCGTCCTGTTTTACTCTCACTTCTGCTTCTCTTCGTCTTTCTAACTCCTCAGCTCTTCTCTCCTCTTCTTCGTCTCTTCTTCGTTGTTCCAGTTTTCTATTTTCCTCTTCATCTTCTCGTCTCTTCAACTCCTCTTCTCTTTTCTGTAATTCTTCTTCGCGATTCTTCTCATCCTCCTCTCTTCTTTGGAGCTCTTCAAGTCTTTCCTTCTCCTTCTGTTTCCTCTCCAACTCCTCCGGATCCTCTTCAGTGTCTTTTCTCTCAACGTCTACTATAACTATGTCAAAGAGAAGTGTAGCTCCTGGAGGAATAACATCTCCTGCACCACGTTCTCCGTATGCATGTTGAGCAGGCACCACCAAGTGTCTCTCCTCTCCCTTACATACTCCCAGCAGGCCCTACAATAAGCTAAGGTTAAAAAGAGACTGAAAGAGACTATGTTTATTCCATCAGGTTGAAAAGAGGGATTAGAAAATTAAATTCTGTAGCCGGTAATCTGCAATACCAGAGCTGAAAACTTTAGAATGGTGAATATCGAGATTAATGCTTGATACTCTCTTTTTCATAATATCGAGACTAATCTAATCTTGTACTTGTATCCTGAAAAGTGTATAAAATCCAGCTAATAAGAGTCGCTATATAAAGCCGGAGCTGAAAACTTTAGAATGGGATATCCTTAGTCCCGATAGGTAAATTATTCTGGAGATTAATAACAAGAGGAGAACAATAAATAAATCTATAATAATCTATAATAATAATAATCATTATTTAATCTGGATATTAAGAAAAAGAGGAGATCAAGCATTATTCTCGATATCCACCATTCTAAAGTTTTCAGCTCGGGCCCGATTAATTTGAAATTTTGCGCGCCATTTAAAATCATATACAGAGATGGGAGGAACTCTGTAATTTAGAAAAACCGGTTTTTGAGTTTTCTGTGCTATATCCAAGAAAGAACGGTTAAAGAAGAAAATCAAATGTGTCCATTGGATACTTAGATTAAGTAATCGGGATTAAGGATATCTCATTCTAAAGTTTTTAGCTCAGTTAAAATAATTGGACAAAATTTCGAAGGTTATAACTCTAATTGTGTCAAATTATAAAATCAGAACATTTATGAAATAAACACATTGAACTCTGGACTGAATATAAATGATGTATAGATACCTGGTCCCAGCCAGGAATGACCTGACCTACTCCAAGCGTGAACGTGAAAGGTTGAGAACGATCAAAACTTGAATCAAACTTCTTTCCTATAATTAGCATTGACATATAAAATTAACAATAGAATCAATTTTAATAAATCATAATAAAATAATTAGAATAATATAAAATTAAATATTAATATATCCTACTACTAATACTAAAGAAAAGATACTATCATTGTTGACGAAGATTTCTCAAAACAAGCAATCAATTTCTTTTTTTATAATAAAGATTATGATAAAGAAGAAGACAATAATTACTGGGGACCAAAGTTAAAAATAAAGATTAAAATATAGAAGGGGAGGACACTTTCTAGGGAAATCAAAGGTGAATGAAAATTAAACGAACAGAAAGCAAATAGCCCTAAACTCGATATCCATAACTTTTAAATTAAAAAGGTTTAAAAGCTCAATTTCGTTGATATATTGAAAATCCGTAAAGAGTTAAAAAAGATTGATATTATCACTTATCAGCGACTGAGGCTGAACTGTTCAGGGGCTAAAGAAACCGTCTGAGCGCTAAGAAAGAGATTACAGATACAAAAGTTTCGCCCAAAGGAGAAGAAACAGAAGTTAATGAGAGAAAGAGATAAACAGAGAGAGAGTTAACTAAAAATGGATAAAACAAGTTAGGAAAACAATAAATGTGTTAAAAAAGAACAAACTCTGCAAGGGAAGAATAAACTAGGGAGGGAAGAATAAGATAGGAAGGGAAGAATAAACCAGGGAGGGAAGAATAAACTAGGATGGGAAGAATAAACCAGGGAGGGAAGAATAAACTAGGGAGGGAAGAATAAACTAGGGAGGGAAGAATAAACTAGGATGGGAAGAATAAACCAGGAAGGGAAGAATAAACTAGGGAGGGAAGAATAAACTAGGGAAGAGAGAATAAACTACGGAGGGAAGAATAAACTAGGGAGGGAAGAATAAACTAGGATGGGAAGAATGAACCAGGAAGGGAAGAATAAACTAGGGAGGGAATAATAAACTAGGAAAGGAATAATAAACCAGGAAGGGAAGAATAAACTAGGGAGGGAAGAATAAACTATGGAGGGAAGAATAAACTAGGAAGGGAAGAATAAACCAGGGAGGGAAGAATAAACTAGGGAGGGAAGAATAAACTAGGGAGGGAAGAATAAACTATCATTATGCAGATTTTATTTTAGGAAGATTGGTCTAAGATAGGGGGATTTGTATATTTATCATTTTAGGGAATTTTATTTTCGCACATTGACATTTGATAGTGTATAATTGGTGTTTTAGAGTTTTTATTTTATGGAATTTTCATAAATATTGGATTAAAAATGATCAGAGACCGAATTAAATGAATTTCCATGGTCCATGTACGCTGTGGAGTTTTACATATTATAGGACATTGACAAATCCTTAATCACCGATACTACATACGTGGTCTAACCGGCTCTAACCTGACTCAAATTCATTAAATCCGGTTCTGGAGTACGTATGTTTTTAGATCAGACTAAGTTTGTGAAACAATCGCACACACACCAACGGTCAAACACTCACCATCCTGCAGAAATCCCCCATAATGCACAGTGACCTTGTCGCCTGCACGCGCTTTTCTTGTGCTCGCGCAGTTTATATCCCGGGTTATCTCGATCTATAAAGATTTATTTAAACATTTTTTTATGAAAAATTAAAAAAAATCTTTAAAAACTGATTTAGAATTAAAACTATGTTTATTAAATGTTCCCAAAACTGGTGTTTTTGCCTAACTGTTTTCGTTCTGTTACTTCTAGATAATTCTATTAAGAAATCTATTAAAATATTCTGTAAAATGAAGTTAATACAATTTAGTAAAGATTGCAGGTTGTCGTTATAATCAACATTTGTTGACAGCTCCGATGTTTTTTATTTTTTTTATTATGTTCCCGTTTTATATTATCTACAACAAAATCAATACAATCTCAAAGTCCTTTTTTCAACGGTTTTTATAGCAAAACATAGTTATTTAATCTCTTTACAGTGTAAAAATTTGTTTTATATTTACTATTGCTTATCTTTGAGCCTAATCCTGAATTGATTACGATTATTGCATATGCAAAGTTTGCAAAAACCAGTTTAGAACAATCTTGAGATTTTAAAAATGTCAAAATTTTCATTTAGACTTTATCTTTAAAGATCGTGGGAACTTGCTGAATTAAATTCAGGATTTTTGCTGAAATACTTAATTAATCAAGTTTAAAAAGACATGCCACTAAAAAGCTTAAAACTATAAAGATATTGAGTCTTTGCCACAAACTCTGATTTTCTAACCCCTATATCTTTGCAACCCACTGCCGTAGACCTTAGATATTTCAAACTATTAATTCTGTTATATCACGTAATCTAAGTTCGAAATACCCAAGGTTTACACTGTCAGGGTGCATTGGCAAATACTCAATTCCTTTGTGCAAAAAAATAGTTTGGTTAAAGTAAAAAAAACCATAAATCATATACGTTTTTAAAAAACGAGAGTCAAAGTTATTTTCTGTTTTTTATTCCTTGAAAAGTGTATCTGCAGTCTGCACACTGTCTTAAAAATGGCGCAAAAACTGACCTGGTTTAATTCTTATAAAAAAACAGCGGAAAAATGGCAAAAAAAGTTAGAATAATTAGAACCTGGAAACGTGCAGCTAATAAAAGGAGAAAAAGATGAACATATAAAATTATTAAATATGCCTCGTGCCATTTTAAATCATAAAAATAAATTGTTTTAAAAAGATTCGTTTTTTTTTTGTGAAGAAAACCTGTATTTCTGATTTATCTATAGATTTAGCTGGGCAGCAGATGAGGATGGAACTGAAGAGCAGTGCAGAGCAAATACTTTTATACCACATTCTGCAGGCTTCAACCTGAAAACAGACAAACAATACTTAAATAAAGAGTTACATAAGGTGAGGGGCGTATAAAGGTTTAATTTAGGGTTGGGACTGTTTTAAAAATTCTAGTCCCTTAAGTAATTCCTGGAGTGTACAATCATATATAGGACAAAAACAAAATTAACAAACTCTTATTTCTCTTTCGATATTATTCCCATTTTCTTGAATTCAACAACCCCTTTTTAATTTCACATTGTTTTTTTCTATGTTGGCACCTTAAAGTGCGATACATATTTATAAATATAAATAAACTAGCCAGAGTGCCCGGTGTTGTCCAGGATTTTATTATTACTCAAAGTTACTCCCACTGTCTACCTGTGCTTGGTATTAAATTATAATATTGCTGTAGTGCCCGGCGTAGTCCGTGGATTTTAATCCAACACATATTATATAATATATAAACATGTAAATTTAAACAGGAAAACCCTGAAAAGAATGCACTTTCTTGACAAAGTCAAAAAATGGTCTGTAACGAACGAGGTTTAATAATAACTTTACCAACCAAAATGACTTGATGTTTAACGTTTCAGCAAAATATGTGTGGTAACTGCCATTTCGTGATTTTATTTGGTACAAATTCTCATCTTTGTTATATCATCTTTTTTTTGGGAATAATAAAGTATTGTTTAGTCCGCAAATTATTAAAAAACAACTAAAAAGTTACTTTTATTGGAGATTAAGATATTTGATTGAATTTGATCTATAAAAAAAGATTGTAAGAATTTCAAAAGAAATAATTCTGTGCTGTAACACATTTGGACAAATAACTAGTTTAAACTTTAACCATCAAAATCGAAATAGCCTGTTTTAAAATAAATTGTCGTCCTAGATATCATAATTAATGCATAGATAGATGCGAAACACGATATATTTCTGATTATGACAACCATGGCGTAACTTATTATAGTAATCATAAAAACTAGAGATTTTGCAGACAAAATGCATCACAATAAATATTTATACATGTCTTAACATTTACAATTTTTTCTCTTAGTTTTTTAACAATTCCTTTCAAGTTCATGAGATATTTATATAATGCGATGTAACCAATAGCTACTAAACTATATCTATATATCTAAAGTTGTAATCTCTGTTTGTTTTTCCGATCATAACTCATGAACCCCTTGTCCGATTTGCCTCAAAATTTGATTGGGAAACTCGAGAGAACCACGGGAATGTTCTTAATTCTGAATTGAGTGGACCCACTTTTATAGGGAAAAATAGCTAAAATCGTAATTTATGACCAAGTTCGAATAAAGGGCGGGAGGAACTATATGTACCCTGAGCAACAACGGTCAAAAAGCATTCTTAGGACAGTGTCAGGTCCCACACTAAATTTGATTAAATTGGTTCAAACACTTTTACGATGATTGAGACCCCAACCCACCAAAATCAGACAATGTCAATCCAACCCACCAAAATCAGACAATGTCAACCCAACTCACCAAAATCAGACAATGTCAATCCAACCCAC